GCTCAAGTGGTAGAGTGCTAGCCTTGAGCTGAAGAGCTGAGGGACAGTGCCCAGGCCCAGAGTTCAGGCCCCACGACTGGACTCAAAAAAAAAAATAGCAGAGAGAAGAAATAGCATGCAGAATACTGAAATGATTCCAGGAGGTAGGACCAACTCTTGGGTGCCTTTTCACTGGAGCCAGGGACCTTTTCCAGTCAACACTCACCTTTACACTTAGCTACAAAGCGAGTCTTCTCCAGGGGTCGACCAAACCATACACAGATCTGAACCATTAGTGGAAAGACGGATCCAGAATCAAATTTTCCTTCATACCTTAAAACAGTTAAAAGTATTTGGGCCTTAACAGTGTTATTATCTTGTATGATTCTCCCCTAATGTATACCATTTTGTATACTAAACATTTGTTTAAATGTGAATGTGAGCCGGGGGAGTCAGTGGCTCACTCCTGTAATCCTAGTTATTCAGGAGGCTGAGATCTGAGGATCACAGTTCAAAGACAGCCCGGCAGGAAAGTCTGTGAGACTCTTATCTCCAATAAACCACTCAATAAACCAGAAGTGATGTTGTGGCTCAAATGGTAGAAGGTTAGCCTTGGGCTGAAGAGCTGAGGGGCAGCACCCAGGCCCAGAGTTTAAGCCACATGACCGACAAAAAAAAAAAGTGAATGTGTCTATTTTACTGTACCATTGGGGACTAGCAATATTAGCAAGAAACTGTTTTACTAGGAAAGTCTTGAGTAGGGTCTACAAGAACAAGACTGTGGGAGGGAAATGGCTGAGGATCCCTATACATGAGCATGTGCTTTAACCAAAGCCTATCCACTCTAAGTGGTGACTTTGATCTAAGTGGGAGAGGAATAAACTATAAAAACAAAGAGGAGACTGATTGCTGCCATCCTGTTAGAATAAATGAGGTGGGTGCCAATGTCTCACACCTTTAGTCCTAGCTATTCAGGAGGCTGAGATCTGAGGATCATGGTTCCAACCCAGCCTGAAAGAGTCCATGAGACTCTTATTTCCAATTGAGGTGTGGCTCAAGTGGTAATGTGCTAGCCTTTAGCAAAAAAGGTCAGGTACAGTACCCAGTAACCAGTACCCCCCCCCCCAAAAAGAATAAGGAATGGCACACTAGCCATGATTTGGGAAAATATCTGACTCAAATCAGAGGCTTCTAAAGATATTGATGAAAATCTCCAATTTTATATTTTTTTATCTGCTTTAAAAGAGAGTGACTAGGGCTGGGAAGGTAGCTTAGTGGTAGAGTGTTGCCTTGCATGCATGAGGCCCTGGGTTCGATTCCTCAGCACCACATAAGCAAAAAGAAAAAGCCGGAAGTGGCGCTGTGGCTTAAGTGGTAGAGCACTAGCCTTGAGCTGAAGAGCTGAGGGACAGCGCCCAGGCCCAGAGTTCAGGCCCCACGACGGGACCCAAAAAAAAAAAAAAGAGAGTGACTACTACTGTTGGTGCTGAGATAGGGTCTCACTACATAACTCAGGCTACCCTGGAATTCACTATGTAGCTCAATATATAGCATCCAACTTGTCAACCCTCCTGCCTCCACCTAAATGCTAGGTGCCACCACTGCCTGGAGCAGATTTTTTTTTTTTTTGTCAGTTGTGGGGCCAGAACTTTGGGCCTGGGCACTGTCCCTCAGCTCTTCAGCTCGAGACTAACACTACCACTTGAGCCACAGCGCCACTTCTGGCTTTTTCTGCTTATGTGGTGCTGAGGAATCGAACCTAGGGCCTCATGCATGCAAGGCAACACTCTACCACTGAGCCACCTTCCCAGCCCTGGAGCAGATTTTGATTACTATACCCAATTGGTGGTAGAGGGGTAGTATACAGGATGTAGAGAGTGCCTTCAAGAACTAAGAATAACAAATATAATCTAGATACAAGAAGAGATTGATTATGGCCAAGGCTTAAACACTTTTGTCCTCAAAAGTTTCCTTTTAGCTGGGCCCTGGTGACTCACACCTGTAATCCTAGCTACTTAGGAGGCTGAGCTCAAAGGATCATGGTTCAAAGCCAGCCCAGACAGGAAAGTCTGTGAGCCTCTTATCTCCAATTAACCATCAGAAAATTGGAAGTGGTGTTGTGGTTCAAGTGGTAGAGAGCTCACCTTGAGTTGAAGAGCTCAGTGAGAGTGCCCAAGCCCAGAATGCAAGTCCCACAAACAAACACACAAGTTTCCTTCTTCTTATCTTCGGAGAGTTGGGGAGAATTACAATAGTTGGGTTGGTAGACAGGAACGTCTCCGTATATTTAAACTTTGTTCCTGATGCCATAAAGTGTGCTTGTTTGTGTAAAAAGTGTGCTTGTTTGTGTAACTTTTTTTTTAAACTGAGAACTGGTGTTTTCATTATTTCCCTTTCAATATAATTGTAATAGGATATAAAAAATTCCTTCTAAACTTATAGACAGAACTGTCCATTTGTACAAGGCCAAGTGTAGCTCGAGGGTTAGGAAAACAAGCTCAAGAACCAGATAACAGGGCTTGAAATCCAGCTCTTTTGTTTACTAGCTTAGCTGTACCTTAGTTGCCTTTGTTACCTTATCTACAAAATGTGGAAATGGAATCTACTTCACAGCTTTGGTATAAGGGCTAACTGAGAACACAGGTAGAACTCTTAGAGCAGCAATGTCCAACAGGACCTTCTATAGTGGTGGAAATGTTCTGGAGCTGTCCAATATAGCTGTAAACTATAGGCAGCCATGGCATACTGGTAATATGGCTGTGTGACAGAGACTAAATTCTGTTTTTTTTTTTTTGTTGTTGTTGTGGGCCTTTTGTTGTTGTTGTTTAGGGCCTGGAGCGCTGTCCCTGAACTTTGCTTGCTCAAGGCTAGCGTTCTACCATTTTGAGACAGTTCCACTTCCAGTTTTCTGTTGGTTAATTGGAGATAGGAGCCTCTTGTACTTTCTTACGAGGGAAGGCTTTTGAACGGTCCTCAGATCTCAGTTTCCTGAATAGCTAGGATTACAGGTGTGAACCACCAGTAAGTACTTGGCTGTAAATTTTCTTCCTTCCTTTCTTTCCTTCCTTCCTTCCTTCCTTCACTTTGTCTTTCTCTCTCCTCCTCATCCTGCTCTCCTTCCCTCTTCCTTTTTTTCCTTCCTTCCTTTCCTTCCTTCCCTTTCTTTCTCTCCCCTCTCTCCCTCCCCTCTCTCCCTCCCTCCCTCCCTCCCTTCTTTCCCCAGACTTCCCTGCCTGGGTTGGCTTTGAACCATAATCTTCTGAATAGCTAGGATTACAGGTGTGAGCCACTAGTACTTGGTTCTACATTTATTTCATTTTTATTAATTTATATTACAGTCAATAGCCATGTAGGTAGAAGTGACCACATTGAAGAGTATAGTTTTAGAACAATACCTAGCATACACCTTTTTTTTTTTTTTTGTCGGTCGTGGGGCTTGAACTCTGGTCCTGGGCGCTGTCCCTCAGCTCTTTAGCTCAAGGGGAGTGCTCTACCACTTGAGCCACAGTGCCACTTCTGGTTTTCTAGTGGTTTATTGGAGATAAAGAGTCTCACAGACTTTCCTGCTTGGGCTGGCTTTGAACTGCAATCCTCAGGTCTCAGCCTCCTGAATAGCCAGGATTATAGGTATGAGCCACCAGCACCCGGCTCACACCTGACTGTTTAGGTGATGTTGACAGAGTATGATTACAATGGATTGACTGCATACTCACCTCTGAAGGGACCTTCTTGGCATTGAGCCTACCTGTCAGATAGAAACCTAGGGTAGACTAGTTACACTCTTACCTGGGAAGGACAGAACTCCTTGTGCCATGCCAGTTACCTTGCCCTCACCAGAGAAAATACTGGGTAGCATTGTGCCCACAGATAACTCCCTAAATCTCAACATCTAGGATGGCTCCCAATTTGAAGCCTAAGACATAGACTACAGGGATCCTGGCAGGGCATTCCAGCTAACAACTATCTTCTTTGTAGAGCATAGTAGTGATTTCACTTTTTTTTTCTTGCTTTGCTATCAATAAATAAATCATTAGGCTTACAAAAAAAAAGTTAGCTATTTTTCAATGATGATACTTACCAGCCAGGGTACATTAAGTATCGAGATCGTAGCATCTGAGGACTTGAAAAACTATTTTCTGAGAGAATCAGCTCAATGTCTTCATTCCTTCAAAAACATACAGAAAAGATCCAGGTTAGTTAATTATCAACCTTGGGCTGGGGATGAGGCTTAGTAGTAGAGTGTTTGCCTAGCATGCATGAAGCCCAGGGTTTGATTCCTCAGTACCACATAAACAGAAAAAGCCTGAAGCGGCACTGTGGCTCAAGCCATAGAGTGTTAGCCTTGAGCAAAAGAAGCTCAGGGACAGTGCCCAGGCCCTGAGTTCAAGCCCAGGAATGGAAAAAAAAAAGATTAACAACCTTAACCTGCACATTTTTCTCCCTCTCATAATCCATACACATATAAGCATGCATGCAATTGCATGGAGAAGGACCCAAAACTCTTGAGTATACATTTCTTAAATTGAAGAAAGTATTTTACAGAACAACAATACTATTATCACGTTCAAGGCATTTCCACTGCACAGTATAGTCAGAAGTGCTTCCACTGGGGGCTGGTTAGAAATGTAGAATCTTGGGCCCCACCCTGAATCAGAAACTTTTTGGGGTAATTAATTGAAGATAAAAGTTTCTGGCTGGGCACTGATGGCATGCCTGTAATCCTAACTACTCAGGAGGCTGAGATCTGAGGATCATGGTTCAAAGCCAGCCCTGGCATGAAAGCCTGTGAGATTCTTATCTCCAATAAACCACCAGAAAACCACCGGAAGTGGTGCTGTGGCTCAAATGGTAGAGCACTAGCCTTGAGCTGAAGTACTGAGGGACAGCACGCAGGCCCCAAGTTCAAGCCCCATGACCGACATAAAAAAAAAAGTCTGGGTGTGTCCTGGGCTGGCTTGAAACCATAATCCTCAGTTCTCAGCCTTCTGAGTACCTAGGATTACAGGCCTGAACCACAGGCTATGGGCTGTCACATCAACAACTTGGACTTATCTGACTGTTCCCTCAGAATTAGATTCAGGTTAAATAGTTTTGCTTAAATTTAATCCCCAGGTGGTATTCATATGACTGACAGCCTGGAGTCACATGATAACAGAATGTCTCATTAGGCAAACTTGAGGATGTAAGGGTAGTTTTCCTCTTTGTGAGTGATTAGTAGTCTGTTCTGGAAGTCTAGTAGACATCTTTTTCCCCCATACATTTTCAGCCACAAAATGATTTCCTTTTTCTTGTTTTGTGGTGCTGAGTTGGCCCAGGTTCTTGAAGACATAAGACCATCAATCACTGAACTGTCAATCCTTATTTGTTTCTACAAAAAAAGGGCTTTGTTAGTGCTTTTTTTCCCAGTCCCACGACTGGGAAAAAAAAGGGGGGCTTTGTTATCCAGTCCTCTCCCCATATTTAATATCACTGTACTATAGTGCATTATTATTATTGTTCTTTATTGCACTCAAATTATACCAAATTTGACTTGTGAGAGCTTTTTTGACAGGCAGTACTAAGGTCTGAACTCAAGGACTCATGTTTGCTCAGCTGGTACTCTAACACTTAAGCCATATCTTCAGCCTTGTTTTTTGCTGGCTGTTTTACTTTTTTTTTTTTTGGTGGGGGGAGGGTGGGTCATGGAGCCTGAACTCTGGGCCTGGGCACTGTCCCTCAGCTCTTCAGCTCAAGGCTAGTACTCTACCACTTTGAGCCACAGGGCCACTTCCAGCTTTTTTTGCTTATGTGGTACTGAGGAATTGAACCCAGGGCCTTATGCATGCAAGGAGACCACTCTACCAGTGAGCCACCTTCACAGTCCTTGCTGGTTTTTTTTGGGTCCGGTCGTGGGGCCTGAACTCTGGGCCTGGGCGCTGTCCCTCAGCTCTTCAGCTCAAGGCTAGCACTCCACCACTTGAGCCACAGCACCACTTCCGGCTTTTGTCCTTTATGCTTATGTGGTGCTGAGGAATCAAACCCAGGGCCTCAGGTATGCAAGGCAAGCACTCTACCACTGAGCCAACTTCCCAGCCTCCTTGCTGGTTATTTTGAAGATAGAGTCTAGTGGACTTTTCTGCTTGGGCTGGCTTCAAACCTCAATCTAGATCTCATCCTCCTGAATAGCTAAGATTACAGGCATGAGTCACCAGTGTCCAGCTCTTGTGGGAACTTGTAATTTAGTTCCCTTATCTTCCCACACATCTCCACTAATCTTGAGTACTTCCTTCGTTTACTGACATAAAATGGACCAGGCTTACCTTGTATTTTTCCTGCCCTACACATGCTATCTGCCCTACAAGGAGTCCTGATATCTTTTGATAGGGATTGGTACTTAGAAACTAAGATCTAAAGGTAGGGATGTACATTGTTATTGTGGCATTATTCTCTTTCCATTGAAAGCTAAGGGACATACATTACAAAAATTAACAAATTCATTACTGTATCCTCAATTCTGAGCAAACACTTGAAAGATCCCTTCTCACTTTTTGCCTTTCACATGTGTAATCTTCTCTCTAGTGGAGCCAGGGTTTCAAGAGAATTACGTTAATATTTTACTTGAATTATTTCTTTTTTCCCAGTCCTGGGGCTTGTACTCTGGGCCTGGCCACTATCCCTGAGCTTCTTTTGCTCAAGGCTAGAGTTCTACCACTTGAACCACAGCGCCACTTCTGGCTTTTTCTGTTTATATGGTACTAAGGAAACAAAACTAGGGCTTCATGCATGCTAGACAAGTACTCTACCACTAAGCCACATTCTTAGCCCCTGATTATTTCTTTGAATATAATTGCACAGATTCAGTGTTTTGGCTAGTATTTGTTTTTTTCTTCCATGCTTATTTACTGTATGAGTGTGTGTATAGATGTGTGTGTGTCAATGTACACCAAACGCAGACCTCACACATGTGTAACTATGTTGAATCTGCTGGACACTGGTGGCTCACACCTGTAATCCTCAGGAGGCTGAAATCTGAGGATAGTGGTTCAAAGCCAGCCTGGACAGGAAAGTCTGTGAGACTCTTGTCTCTAATTAACCACCAGAAAACCAGAAGTGGTGCTGTGGCTCAAAGCTGTAGAGAGCTAGCCTTGAGAAAAGGAGCACAGAGATAGCAATCAGGCCCCAAGTTCAAGCCCTATGGCCAACCAAAAAAAACAAAAAACAAAAAACCAAGTATCATCAAGCTGCATCCCCAGTCCTTTAATGTTTGAGAAGTCAAAACTATATAAAAAGCTATGTACTTTTTTTTTGTCAGTCGTGGGGCTCGAACTCTGGGCCTGGGTGCTCTCCCTGAGCTCTTCAGCTCAAGGCCAGCCCTCTACGACTTGAGCCACAGTGCCACTTCCAGGTTTCTAGTGGTTAATTGGAGATCATGGACTTTCCTGCCGGGGCTGGCTTTGAACCAAGATCCTTGGGTCTCAGTTTGCTGAGTAGCTAGGATTATAGGCTTGAGCCACCAGTGCCTGGCATAAGCCATATACCTTTTAACAAACTAATTGAGCAAACAAAACTGCAATATAACAGTTTTCTCTATTTTTGATGTGTAATTTAAATCCAAGGCTGTGAAGCAAAAAGATCATTACTCTATGTTCTCTATACAACTTCTCTCAAATCAACATAAGACACCTTTATAGAGAGTGTGGATTTCTATTCTTCAATGTATGAAAATGTGAATGCACCAACACAAAAACTCCTTTTTTTTTTTGGGTCCGATCGTGGGGTCTGAACTCTGGGCCTAGGCACTGTCCTTCAGCTCTTTAGCTCAAGGCTAGTGCTCTACCACTTGAGTCACAGCGCCACTTCCGGGTTTTTTCTTTTTGGTTATGTGGTGCTGAGGAATCAAACCCAGGGCCTCAGGCATGCAAGGCAAGCGCTCTACCACTGAGCCAACTTCCCAGCCCCAAAACTCCTTATACTAGTATAGGATACTGACAAATGAGGTCTTCTTGGTGGCTTTTCAGTATCAATGCACTTCAAAAACTAACTTCTATAATGCTTAGGTCTTAAATACAGTTTAAAGACCCTGTGTGCCACAGGCAGATAGCTATGTTTGAGAAAGTGGCTGGTTCTGTAGAGTTTGCAGAAGTTTACCTGGTAACAATCCCATTTTCTGCAAGAATGAAGGCTGCGGTAGGGTTGGCAGCCCTGATAAGGCTCTGCAGCTGCACAAGGAGAGGGTGCCTTTGCTCCATAGTGTGACTGGTGAACACCACATTGTTAACCAGACCTGGGGAATAGAACCAAGAATAATCAGTCAGCCTTCAGAGTCCTGATGGGCTGTGGACTCCTTCCTCTGACCGACCATTCCTTCCAGTAGACTCTGATGCAGACATGACCATTCAGTCTTACTTCTAGGAACTGCAGCATCTTAGGTTCAGCCCTGCAACTGCTTCACTTCCTACCCTCTTTTATCTGAATTGCAGCTTTCTGCTCCTCTCTACATTTCCTGATCACAGAGTCTCTTCACATCCCTGTGCCATTTACCTCTGCCATTTGAGACCACAGACATCAGGCACTTAGCTGTTATATTCACACAGAGAATGATTTGAAAAAAAAAGGGGGGGGGGAGACCAGGAACAAAGATGTGGTTGGGCCACCATCACACCACTCCCAATTTTATGTGAAGATCTAGACATAAAACTCATGAGACCACAGAGAATGTAAAAGTCAGAAAAGTTACCACAGCCTAAAAACTGAACATGTGACTCCTATTTTTACATAGTTATGATCAGAGTATATACACCATTTCTGATATACAATCCTTTGCACTATTGGTATTCAATAATTCTTTTTTTAAAAAGAATTTATTATTTATTTTTGGCTGGTCATGGGGCCTGAACGTTGGGCCTGGGCGCTGTCCCTCAGTTCTTCAGCTCAAGGCTACCACTCTACCACTTGAGCCACTGCGCCACTTCTGGCTTTTTCTGCTTATGTGGTGCTGAGGAATTGAACCCAGGGCCTCATGCATACAAGGCAAGCACTCTATCACTGAGCCACCTTCCCAGCCCCCAATGAGACTCTTATTGCCAATTAACCACCAGAAAACGGGAAGTGGAACTGTGGTTCAAAGTGGTAGAGTGCTAGCCTTGAGCCAAAGAAGCTCAGGGACAGTGCCCAGGCCCTGAGTTTAAGCCCCAGGACTGGCAAAAACAAACAAACAAACAAAGTGGTAGAGTGCTAGCCCTGAGTGAAAAAGGGACAGCACCCAGGCTCTGAGTTCAAGCTCCACAACTAACAACAACAAAAAAGAAATAAAAAATAGAATAAAAAATAAACAAGGTAACAAAAGCAGATGTCAGTAATACATATAGGACAAGTACCTATGTATAAACCAACAGAGTCCCATCACCTGAGCTTGAAAAATTGTCAATACTGACCAATCACATTTCATTTCTACCATTCCTCAGCTCATCTCCTGCCTCGTCCACTAGCTATTCAAATATTCACCCCAAAGTATTTTAGTATTGAGTATCTCTAATGTAAAGACACTTAAAAAGTAGTGACTAACAAACTCCTTAATGTAAAAAAATCCAAGCCAGCTGGGAACTGGAGGCTAATGCCTATAATAGCTACTGAGGAGGCTGAGATCACAGTATCACAGTTCAAATCCAGCCCAAACAAGTGCTGTGGCTCAAAGTGGTACAGTGCTAGCCTTGAGCAAAAAACCTTAGAGACAGTGGCCACCCCGAGTTTAAGCCCCTTGATTAAAAAAAAAATCCAGTCCATGTTCAAGTTTCATATTTTCTTTTGGTGTGTGTGTGTGTGAGTGTGTGTGTGTGTGTGTGTCTTAAACTCAGGGCTTCTCAATCTCACTTGGCTTTTTCATTTGAGGCTGGTACTCTACCACTTGAACCACAGCTCTACTCTAGCATTTCGCTGATTAATTGGAGATAAGAGTCTCACAGACTTTTCTGCCAGGGTTGGCTTCAAACCATAACCCTCAGATCTCAGCCTCCTAAGTAGCTAGGATTATAGGCATGAGCCACCAGCCCCTAACCACAATTTATTATTTTTTCCACTATTTATTTTGTAATATAATTTTGTTACATAGTATAAAGTCAAGCTATGGCTGGGTGCTGGTGGCTCACACCTGTAATCCTAGCTACTTGGAGGCTGAGATCACAGTATCACAGTTCAAATCCAGCCCAAACAAGTGCTGTGGCTCAAAGTGGTACAGTGCTAGCCTTGAGCAAAAAACCCAGTCCATGTTCAAGTTTCATATTTTTGTGTGTGTGTGTGTGTGTAGTTCTGGAGTTTGAACTCAAGGCCTTGTGCTTGGCAAGCAATCTATCACTTGAGTCATGTACTCTGCCATTTTGTTTTTTAGTTTATTTTTCAGGTAGAGTCTTTTGTTTTTTGCCCACAGCCTGCCTATCTATTCCTCCCTTGCAGTGGTACTATAATAAAGTGCATCACCATACCCAGATTATTCTTTGAGATTTGAAAGGTCTCAAACCATGATCCTCCTATATTTAGCTGGGATTACAGGCATAAGGCACTGTAATCAGCTTGTTTTTAAGAGATGAATTTGTGTGTGTGTGTGTTAGTACTGAGGCTTGAACTCAGGGCCTTGTGTTCTTGCTTGGCTTTTTCTTGCTCAAAGCTCATGCTCTACAACCTGACCCATACTTCTACTTCCAGATCCATCCTTTCTACCTTCTTTTTTGTTTTTTTGGTTGGTTGTGGGGCTTGAACTCTGGGCCTAGGCACTGTCCCTCAGCTCTTCAGCTCAAGGCAAGCACTCTATTGCTTGAGCCACAGCGCCACTTCTGGTTTTCTGGTAGTTTACAGGAAATAAGAGTTTCATGGACTTTCCTGTCCTGGCTGGCTTTGAATCAGGATCCTCAGATCTCAGCCTCCTAAGTAGCTAGGATTACAGGCGTGAGCCACTAGTGCCCGGTTTACTTTCCTTTTTTTGTTTTTGTCCAAGATCAGGACTCAAACTCCTGATCTGATGCTTTGACTCACTGGCAGGTGCTCTATCACCTGAGTCACACACACTTCCAACCCCTCAGAATATTTTCTTGTCAATAGCTTTGGGCCAGGAACTAAAGTCCACATAATATATTACCTAGATGTATGTCATAATTCTCTTTGTGTTTGTTTTTTTTCATTCCCTGGTAATTTTTTTAAATTTAAAAACTGCATTCTGCCAGGCATGGTAGTTTATAAATTTAATCTTAGCACTTGAGAAGTGGCGGCAGATCTCAAGGTTTAGCCAGAGTTATGTAATAGCAACCACAGAGTTGTTCAACATGAAAGCTAAATCTAGAGGCTTCATTAGCCTGCTATATATATATATATATATATATATATATATATATATATATATTTGTGTTGCTGGAGGGGAGGCACATGCACACACCAGTACTGAGGCTTGAAGTCAGGGCCTTTCTTTCTGTTTTGTTTTGTTTTTGGGTCCAGTTGTGGGGCCTGAACTCTGGGCCTGGGCGCCTTCCCTCAGCTCTTCAGCTCAAGGCTAGCACTCTACCACTTGAGCCACAGCGCCACTTTCGGCCTTTTTGCTTATGTGGTGCTGAGGAATCGAACCCAGGGCCTCAGGCATGCAAGGCAAGCGCTCTACCACTGAGCTACCTTCCCAGTCCCAAGTCAGGGCCTTTCACTTGGGTTTTTTTATTCACAGTGGCACTCTACCACTTGAGCCAAATCTCTAATCTGGCATTTTGCTGGTAAAGTGGAGAAGGAGTCTCAGAGACTTTTCTGCTGGGTAGGATTATAGACATGAGCCACGGGAGCCCAACTATACTTTTCTTTCAATAGGTACTTATCCTATGAATCATATTAATATTACTGACACTGGATTTTGTCACATTATGTATTTTGGATTTTTGTGTGTGTGGGCTGGTCCTGGAGCTTGAACTCAGGGCCTGGGGGCTATCCCTTTTTTCTCTCTCTTAAAGCTTGTGCTCTAAGCCACAGCTCCACTTCCAGCTTTTTGGTAGTTTGTCGGTCCTGGGACTTGAACTCAGGGCTTGGGCACTGTCCTTGAACCTCTCTGCACTCAAGGCTAATGGTCTACCACTTAAGCCACAGCACCACTTCCAGCTTCATGCATGCTAGGCAAGCACTCTACCACTAAGCCACATTCCCAGCCCCCGTTTTTTGGTAGTTAATTGGAGAGACTTTCCTGCCCAGGCTGGCTTCAAATTGAGGTCTTCAGATCTCACTTCTTGGGTAGCTAGGATGAAAGGCATGAAGCTACTGTTTCCCACCTTGGCACTTAGTTATATCCACTCAAGGACAGCACTCTATCATTTGTGAAACTCCTCCATTTCTTGGTTTTACTGGTTAACTGGAGATGAGTCTCAGGGACTTTTTTGCCCAAGCTATCTTTGAACTGCAATCTGCAAATCTCAGCCTCCTAAGTAATATATCCAACCCCTTTCTCCTTTCTTCCTTCCATCCCTTTCCCTTTCTTCTTTTTTCTAAAAAAGGTATCTCATCCTGTTGCCCAGAATGGTCTAGAACTCCTAGGATCAAGCAATTCAAGGGCATAGCCTTCCAAATTGGTTGAGATTACGGGTGTATCCCACTGCACTTGGCTTTCAACTTTTGGCAATATGATAGCTACATTCTTTGTTTTCTGTTTTCCTTCTGATAGGTGGCAGGCTAGGAATCCATTTTCAGTTTGTAAAACAGCTATTATCTTTTTGTAAGTTAAATAAACTGTTTCCCCTCCCCTCTCTTTCTCTGTTATGTTTTTTTCTAGATGAGGTATGTTTTGTGTCCTTTTTACCTCCCATTTTACCTCCCAAGTGAAGGAATTACACACAAGTGCCACCATGCCTGGATAGTGTTTTATAACATTACCTTAAACAATGTTTAGTGATTCTTTCATATGAAAAATTATGAAGTTATTATATAAGCTTAACTTTGTCCATTTCTCCACCATCACATTCTGGTAGGTCACATTAAAATTTTTAGATCCTCGCCGGGCGCTAGTGGCTCACGCCTGTAATCCTAGCTACTCAGGAGGCTGAGATCTGAGGATCGCAGTTCAAAGCCAGCCCGGGCAGGAGACACCGTGAGACTCCTATCTCCAATAAACCACCAGAAAACCGGAAGTGGC